GTGTTAGCTATTATGTTACTTTGTACAAGAAAGATGATTTCTATGTTGTGTAGGACAGTTAGAACGACCGAAAACTGAAGCCTACAAGTTACGATAGTTTTCACTCTTGTAATAACTTTAAAGGAAAACTAAAATAAAATTGTGTTTGTTTAAGGGGATTGTGTGTTAAATTGTTTTTCACCTAATAATTTGGTAGAACCCCATCACAACATAATTATAATCAAAAGTTAACAAAATAAAATATAATTTACATTTCCAATGGTATTGTTGCGTCAGCGAGGTCACGTGACTAGTATCACGCCACTTCTTTCTCGAACCTTCGTGAATTGTCGGGAGATTACTAGATTGGGGGTAGGCTGGTATATATAAGATGGTCACAACGTGACGGAATATGTGTAGGTAATGAGTAATTGAACGGAGAATTGTTGAAGTCGAGCTCGTGAGTTATAGCGTTTGTTATAGAGCGACTGTTGAAATTAAGTGTATCGTAAAGTTGTATTCCGAAAGAATAAACCAGTTTTATTTAAGAAAGGACTTGTGTCGCTAAAGTTTCGTCGGAACGAAGTTACGGAAAATTAACTAACAAATGGAGACGTAACAGTATTATAAATATCATGGCATGTGCAGTAAATGTCTGTGTTTCAGACTTAGTGACGTTTTTAAGTTATTAATGTTTATTTATAACAATATAAAACGTGCGTAATTAACGTTGTACAAGTTCCCAATAAGAGATATTGTCGTTGTGTTCCCTCAGTTTATTCTGTGTCCAAAAGACTATCAATTATATAGTCCATTCGTCTGTCTTTAATTGCTTTGATTTTAATAAAGATACCTTTGTTCACAATGAGTCCAGTATTTTTCCTTTCAATTTAGTGACAGTCAGGTAATCAAATTTACTACTTAATATTTTCTTTTGCACCGCCTGTTATTTGCAGTTGCTAGTATTATAAGAACTAGAAATCAGCCTAAATGAAAATATTTCAAAACTATATATTCTGTACTAGTTATGGTTTGTTTGTTTGTTTGGAATTAAGCACAAAGCTACACAATGAGCTATCTGTGCTCTGCCCACCACGGGTATCGAAACTCGGTTCCCAGCGTTGTAATTCCGCAGATATACCGCTGTGCCACTGGGAGGTTTTAGTTATGGAAGGTCGAAATTAGCAACTCGTTCAACTGCACCCGTGTTGCCAGTACACTAGTTGAGGCGTTTTTAATTATCTTTTTTTTTCACGATGTTTGGCATAATGAACATGCGCAGAAATAGAAGTACAGAAAACTACTTTCTCTTTTTTTGATAATGAAACTAGTTAGAGACATGGCATTCTTGCAAGTGTTAACAGAGCTTGAGTTTGAATATAGTGCAAATAGTTCTTGGTAGAAACTTGCACTTGTTTCGTTTAAATCAAATTTGTTCTTGAGCTTGACCATAAATTGACCTGTTGCGGCATCTAGAGAATCTGAACATATCAACAGAAATCACTGCACAACATAAGATACTGTTATTGTATTTGTTTAGTAAATAGTGATTTTTTTTCAACTTGAAAATTTTGTGTTCATCCTGTGTTTGTTTCTGGCCAAGTTTGATCTACCAGTATTCATATACATTTCGATTTTTTGCTATTTTGATGTTTGTCGGTGTACGCCTTTCCCAAGAATACTGTAAACTGTTGTTTATAGTTATGGCCTCCATATTACGCATAATTATTTGAGTAACTTTTGTAAAGTTAGTGCTTTATAAACTAACGATATATTGGATACTAATAATACTTGAAAATTATCTGAGATTACAAAACTAGATAAATCACAATTAAAGAAACCTGAAATATCAAATGCTTTTGTTACGTAGGTTTTTAGTATTTCTCTGATGACCTAACCGCGAACCAGTAGCACACCGGTATGTCTGCGGACATACAACGCTATAAACCGGGTTTCGATACCCGTGGTTGACAGAGCACAGATAGACCATTGTTTAGCTTTGTGCTTAATTACAACTAACTAACCGAGCGAACCATTAATGTTCATATCTGAATAAAATGCAAAATTAATTATTTATAGTTGACGTGGGTGTAAATGTTATACATTAATGACACATTTTATTTGTGTTTTTAGTCACCACGAAGTTCCCTGATAGGTAGCAGTGAATTCACGTACTTACAACGATAAAATCTGGAGTTTGATTCCCGCAATCGACCCAGCGTATATGTCCCATTTGGTAGCTTTGCGCTGAACATACAAACAGTCGCTACGAAATAATTCTGTGTACATATATACACAGAATTGAAGAGAAAAACAAAGACAATTTTACGCTTCACAAAAACTTTATTTATTCAAGCCATGGTTTCGCCAGGAAAGGCCTTTTCTTCAATTCTGTAATTATAGAATTTCACCAAGTAACGATGGTTTCAAGTATCAATTATATATATATATATATATACTAGCTGAGTTACCCAGCGTTGTACGGTGAACATTTAGATATGAAATGTACAGATCAGTATTTTTTTCAGCAAATTATCCAGTAAGTAGACAAAAGCTATGATGCGAGAAATAAAAAAGCATTTAATCAAACAAAGCTTTACTTGAAATTAGATCGTGTTTGAAACCCAGGGAACATCACCCGATAACATTATTAAAATATACAAAACATACATTCGACCTATAATTGAACATGCCAGTCCGGCATGGATAAACACAGTTCCTAAGCACATAAACAAACTACAAAGAATACAAAACACACCAATCACCTCTGCATAG